TTTCTTACTTCCTCCCATTGCTCTTCCTGAGTATCCTGTCACACCAATGAGTAATTATTACATCACTGATACAGTGGCAGTGTCCTGTGCAGAGAATGAGTCGATCAGTCAACTGAGATGGAAGGACAGCAAGATATAAGGTCATGCTGCTGGTGTTCACGACGTCATGTTAAATTAAGCTCCCAAGATGTGTATTAGGTTAGATAGGCATGCTCCTTAGGGAACATAAATGTCTACAGATTTGCCATTTTGATATTTGCTCTGGAAAAACATCCCAGGCTCAGGGAGCAAGGATAAAGGGTGTGCAGCACTGAGCCAGAGTCTCCAGGCTCATCCTCGAGATGTTTCCCGGGAATGGACAAAGGCCATGGTGTTCCAGTGACAACTCAGCTTGTTGGAAGCAGGATTGCTAGAAGGGATTTCCAGCCCCAAGGGTCTTTATCATGTGTCTGGATGGTTAGGTGCCCTAGATGCCACTACAGGGGAGAGTCATCAGGGGACAACTCCTTCTACTAAAGGTCAGACTGCTGCAAGAAGCATGGCGGCAGTGGGCCAAGGGCCCGCTGGGTAGTCAGTTTCCAGATGTGTTAGCATCATGAAGCACAAAACCACCTCCAGATGTCCCATCCCTATCACCCCCCATAAGCCATTCAAACCCAATTGTATCCTCACATCAGCTAAAAATTATCCCAGGATCCCTGGGTCCTATTCACCCCGAAAAGGAAGCTAGACAATTAAGTCAATTAGATGCTAATATTTTCCAGAAGCCCCATAATCTATATCCATGGCTTCCAGAGGACTTAGCATTACTCGGCAGACACTGAGTCCCAAAGGCATATAGACATTCAGGGCCATGTGTCTATGGCAACGGGGGGTAACAAGGACAGGACAACAGTGTCATCCTTCATCCAAAAGACAGTTGCCATTAAACAGCTCTTCATACACCCAACTCCTTTTTGGAGACATGGTTGTGCCTCACAGTGCCTTGTAATCAAGTGTGAGAGAGAACCAACAGGGAATCTGGGACTTGGCCACATCAACAGGAGCCAAAATTGAGAAGAACTTATCTCTAAAACACCTTAAGGTGTGGCTTTTGTTAAATGATATGAAGTCCATGAAAGATTTGCACAGGTTTTGAGAAAGTTATCAAGAAAAGCACTGCCACTGTGGATTGAAGGGCATAGAGACTTTTAGACACTCCAAATCCTGAAAGAAAAAAAAAAAACTACTAAGTTGCAGGACTGGGAAGATGGCTCAGCCAGTAAAATGCTCTCCAAAGAAGCATGAAAACCTGTGTTCAGTCCCCAGAAGCCACATGGGAGTGCTTGGCATGGTGACATGAGCTGGCAACCCCAACACTAGGGAGGCAGAGATAGGTGGATTCTTGGGGCTTGATGGTCACCTAGCCTAATTGGTGAGCCCACGATTAGTAAGAGGCCCTGTGTCTCCAAACATGGACGACAGTTCCTGAGGAATGACAGTGAGGTGGCTGGCTGGCCTCTACGCGCGCACGCGCATGCATACACACACACACACACACACACACACACACACACACACACACACACACACACACACACACACACATGATCCCTCTGCTCTTTTGACTACTTTTTAATTAATTTTAACTTAAGTGCATAGCAATCACTCCCACATCTCCAGTCTGGCTTACATTGATACTTCCTGATGTAGCCACTCAACGGACATTATCTCCTCAGGATGCAGCTCTCTTGTTCCCCTGTTCTAATAGTTCTCACCATTTTTACTAAACAGTGGTCAGAGCTTGTGGCGTGACTGTGTAGACATCCCCTGCCTGTCTGGGGCTGGACTATGACTGCCCTTCCCCTCTGACAAAGCTCTAATCAGCTCTCTGTCTCTCTTACCTCGTCTGTCAGCTTCATTGCATCAACCCCTTTCAAATGTCACACCGGTCTTTCTCTCCAAGTTCCTCTCCTTGTTTTCTTGGCGTCCAGAGTCTTCCTCTCTGCTCCAGTCTGCACTGGTTCCGCTCTAGGCCTACCACGTACTACACTACCTCACTTTCCTCCCGAGGGGACATCACTGTTTCCTGGATCCTGTGTCTTCCATTCTCTTGCTTTCCCTTTTGTTTGTCTGGAGCGTAGCCTCAAGCAGCTTTAAGCCCAAGTAAAATGCATGAGAAGTGAACTTCAGGTACACAGAATTCTAAGTTGAAAATTCCCTTCCTAAATCTTTAAATGGTTTAAAATTGCGGGTGCACAGGCACACGCATGCCATGGTATGCATAGGGAGGCCAGAGGACAACTTCGTGGAGCCGGTTCCCCCCTTCCACCATTGTGTAGGTTCTGGGTATTAAACTTAGGGTGCCAAGCTGGAGTGGCAAGCACCTTTCCCCATGAGCCCTCTCATGAGCCCACTCATCTTAAGAGCACTGCCCCACTGTCTTTTCACGGTTACTTTTGAGGAACTCAATGTCACTCTGAAGGTTAATCATCCAACTAGGATGTTCTGAGCCCACTGTGGGCTTGGAATGTTGTCTGCTCTGTACTCTTCGTGCTGTGAACACTACTCAAACGTATTTTGACGAGGCTCTTTTTCATTTTGACGAGTGCCCAGCAGACCATCTCCATCTCAAATTTGTTTTATGGTTGGAGATGTAGCTCATTTCATGGAGTGTTTGCCTAGCATGCCTAAAGTCCTAGCTCCAATCCTCAGCACTATATAAACTGTAAGGGTGAGGCACAGCCCTTAGCAAGGACAGGCAGGAGGACCATTAGTTCAAAGTGATCCTTAGCTACAAAGCGAGTTCAAGGCCAGGTGGGATACATGAGACTGTCTCAGAAAGAATGAACCAACTTGTAAATTATATTGTGCTGTTGAAGCCTGTCTCTTCTAAAACCCTGTCCTGGGTCAGGCTGGTGCCCTGGCTTACAGCTAGAGGTGTTAAAAACACGACATCCTTGCAAATGGTTAGAAGGTAAATCCTTTCCAACAGTTATGCAACGTTTATCCCATTGTATAGAAATACCTGTGGGAGGAATCTGAAGCCACAAGTTCACTCATGCAAAGAAAGCTCCAACAGGAACTCCTCTGGCTCCTCCACTTCCATAGGACCCTGGTTTGAGGACTTGACTTGCTCTCTCCATCAGGCTACTCCAGCTGTCTCTGCTGGATGCTGTGAGCACCCGCTCTGATGAGGCCTTGCTCTCTGTCTTTTCCTTTTCCTCTGCTTCTTGGTACTTATTCTTTTACTTTTGCTGGCTATACACTCTCACTCACTCAACACTGCGAGTACAGCTGCCACAGATCACATGGAATGATCCAGAAACTGGAAACATCCTTCAACTGAAGGTATAGCTGCAAGCTAATCAGGGGAGAATACTGACTTGGAGGGATTTTCTAAACAGACAACAACTAACCACAAATGTCAGCTGTAAACAGTTAAACTCTCAGAGGGGAAGAAACGTAGGAATCCGAACAAGTGAATAGCACATGAAGTGTGGAGATGAAAGGGGCATGAATGCAAAGACAGACGAGCTCGGCTCCAAGATGACTCACACCACAGTCCACCTGCATGCTTCTTGTTGAGTCAGGAAGCCCACCTGTTTGTCTACAGATCACGTGGTCCCGTTCCCATGACACCCAAGACCGGAAAAACTAGAGGCAAGTAAGCAGCCTGGCAGTTGCTAGGGCTGGAGCAGGCTGGGGGGTCAGTTATAAGGAGCAGCCTGCCCACCGTGCTGCTTTACAGAAAAATTTCCGTTAACAGATGTATTAGGAACCAGAGAAACACAAAAACATCCTGACAACTCCCAACTAAAAACCTCTGAACAAAAATTAAAGGAGAAACAGGTAGTTATGAGCTGGGGATGCAGCCTAGTGGTAGAATACTTACCTAGCACACTTAAGGATCTAGGTTCAACCTCTAAGAAATAAAGAAAGGGAGGAGATTAACATAATCTGAGAAGTATTTTCCCTCGGGTTGGACTATAGCTCAGTGGTAGAGTGCTTACCTAGCATACATAAGGCCTTAAATTCTCTCTCTCTCTCTCTCTCTCTCTCTCTCTCTCTCTCTCTCTCTCTCTCTCTGTGTGTGTGTGTGTGTGTTTTGTGCGCACACACACACACACACACACACACACACACACACACACACACACCATCTGAAGTATTTGGTAACTATAAAAGGAAACATGGTAATTTTAGTGAAAGTCTTGTGGCCAGAACTTTAACTAAATGATGGCTAATATCCCCCAGTACCCCAGGGTGGCAGGAGTTACTCCCTGATACCATGCAGGTCACCTCTGAAGACATTCTCCAAATATCATACAAATTCAGTCTAGTCAGGGAAAAATATCAAAAACACCCAATGCAAGATACTTTCTAAAAAGCAACTGACTAGAAATGTTGAAAAGTAGAACTCTCCTAGGTTTGAAGAAACTAAGCAAACAATTGAAGTCCGGGTTGGCTTCTGGAAGAAAAAAGGGACATCAAAGGCAAAGACTATTGAAACAGGAACAGACTCCACAGCGCTGGGTCTAAGAATAATGTCCGACAGTGGGACATGATGGTAACATAGAAGAAGGCTGGGTGAAAAGGATCTGGGCAGACAAATGGGAAGCACTAGAGGGAACTGAACTCTTAGGGGGAAAGAATGCTCTTGGGTAGAGTTCTAAACTCTGTTTCTAGGCTGAAGCTCTAACTTCCCTGTGGAGCGACACACCAAAACCTGTGCTTCTGGCGGGAACCCAGAAGCGAGGTCAGGATACTCACAGCCACTGGAAGCCAAGGCATAGCCCAGAAAAGGAAGAGCAGAAACAAGGGGTATAAACCTTGGGCGTTAGCCAGCTAGAAGCTAAGGCTAAGCCATGACGCCTCCATGTATTGAACTCCAGAAAAGGTTAAAGATGTGAAGTGAGATTGGCGTCACTCCCTTAAGACTAGTGGTCTCAATTCTTCCAAGTTAGTTATCTGCTTGGAAAAAAAAAAATCGCTATTCTTCAAAGGAATATACACAAATCCAGAGTTCTCATCATGTTTATTCAAGATAACAAGGCAAAACCCCCAAATTGTATGATATGAAGAACCAGGAATAAGCAACCAATTCTCAAGAAAAAAATTAGAGTCTGAGACCAACCAGATGTTGACATTTTGAAATGAGAATTTTATGACAGTTATAATTATGCAGTGATGTTTAGAAAAACATGCAATAAATGGATAGGCAATCTCAACCAAGAGTTTCTCCAAAACAAATAGAAATTCTAAAAGTAAAATCAGTTTATAAAAGAAGGAAGTTACCAAGAGTGAGGAGAGCTGCTAGGAGCCAGTAAACTAAAAAATTGATCAGTTGAAGCTATCTACTTGGAAGAACTTTTTAAAAAGGCAATTGTTCCATGAGCAGCCTGCCCATTAAGATTATAATAAACATATACAGAAGTAACATGTTTCACAGACAGAGAGAAGGTGGAATCTTGCTGTTACTGGTAGGAACAGAAATTACTGAAGCTTTTGTGGAAAAGCTCAACAGTTCCTCAAAAAATTAAACAGCAGGGCTGGCGGGACGGCTCAGAGAATGAAGGCACTTGCTGCCAAGCCTGACGATTGGGGTTCAATCCCAAGGACCTACACGGTGAGAGAACCTACTTACCTAAATTGTCCTTTGACTTCCACATGTATGCCCCATTCCCCCCAACACAAAAATGTTAAACAACAATCTGACCTTACCAATAAGATCCAAAAACAGATACTCAAACAAATGTCCACAATAGTGTTATTCACCACAGCACCAACGTAGATACAACCTAAATGTTCATAACTGATAAAAAACAAGTATGCTATCACCACATGAAAGATTATTCAACCATGAAAACTAAATGAATTACTGAATGGTCTTCAAAATATTATGATAGTATCAGGAAAGATGCCCAGTGGTTATGAGCACTAATTGCTCTTCCAGTGGATCTGGGTTCGATTCCCAGTACCTGTATTACACGGTGTCTCCTCACAATTTGCAACTCCAGCTCTAGGAGGTCAAACACCTTCTGGCCTCTGCAGACACCAGGCACCCATGTGGTGCATGGACACACTTGCAGGCAAAACACTCATACACATAAGAAAATTTAAATATTATGCTAAGTGAAAAAGCCAGACCCTAAACTACACCTTGCATGATTCTGCTCTGCTTATGTGAACTGCGCAGAGCAGAGCATGGAGATGGTGGGCAGCCCAGCCATCAGGGAGGAGGGCACAGAAGTACTGCAGTGTCTTCTATATCCCTGGACTGTATCTGTTTGTGCTGTCACAGTCTACCAGACACTAGCTGATAAAGAGAATTTCTCGTAGTTCTGGAGCCTGGAAGGCACTAGCATTCAGGGAGGACCTTCTTGCTGCATCGGCTCATGGTAAGAAGACCAGAGTCAGAGACAGGGCCAGAGAGAAAAAGCACAGGCCTGGACTTGCCCTTTCATAATCAGTCCACTCCTGCCGTGACAGCATCACTCCATTCATGCCTGTCAGATCCTCAGGCCTGTTCGCCTACTGGGCACCCCACTGAATGCTACTGGAGATTACGTTTCCAACACATCCTGGGGGACACACATTCAAACTGTAACACAATATAAGACCTGGGAATATCCAAGTAATGATTCTTCCTAAGTATGGACTCCATATTCTCTCCATCAAAACCAACATTCACTTGCTTTTAAGAACCTCACAGTGTCTGTTTTGTGTGGTAGTACAAAGGGTCTACCATATGGAAACCCTTTAAAATAAATGCAAAAATGAAAGGTGTTGATGAGACCATCATAAAGCTAGGGAGTCATGACTGTTTGGCTCCAAGATAAAGACCAATGTCCCAAACACTGGAGTAGAGAGAATTGAGATTTAAAGCCACATTTTCATGGCACCTTCTTGAGGCAGACTCTGTCATAACACTGTTACAGTAACTAGAAGCTCACAAGGGAAAACAATGCCTCGGGATTCCCATTAACAACCTACATACATACAAGGAAATAATCCAAAGTGAGCTGTGGACCTAAATGGAGGCGTCAAGATTATAAAGCTCTGAAGAGAACATATTTTGGGGGGAGGGGAGCTTGAGGTAGGAAGTAAGAGATGAAGATGATTCTTTAGATTACAAAGACAATTTTCTTTTGCCTTGCTATGTTGATGAGGCACATCTTTGTTCCCTGCATTCAGGAAGCAGAGGCAGACAGATCTCTGAGTTCAGGGCCAGCCTGATCTATGTAACTTTCAGGCTAGGCAGTACTACGTAGTAAGACCCTATGCAAAAACAAAACAAAACCCCTTCCTTTTCAAGGATGTGAATTCTGTAATGAACATGTATCATAGTCATAAAATAATTAACGTAACTTCCCTTTGCTGCCCTCACTGGAGATCCTCAGGACACTGCTTATACAAAGCTGTATAGTGCTTTGCCTTCATTCTGACAAGTATTTACAGGGAGGAGGCAGTAGTATACAAAGAACTAGACATTACATTGAAACTATCTCTTAAACCTCTTTGAACCCCAACATTTTTCAGGTTTTGCTTACTAAGAGATTCATCTTCAGATGCTACAAATGTCGTGCCTCTAAACACAAACCTACTGGAACCACAAGACTTCTGGCTTCTTCAGCTCAGATTAGCTAAATAGGAAACACCCTGGTTCCAGATGATTCCAGATGTGGCGGGACCTAATTAGCTGTAAGAGTAAATCCCACAGAATGCAAATGCTTTGCAAAGAAAGGACCCCATGGCAGCTTTAAAAGGCATACAAATTATTTCCCACTCTTCTGAGAAGGCTCTGTGACTGCTTGGCCAGCAGGGCATGATGAGAGGGATGCTCTGAGATTCTGGAGCCGGCCTCAAAGGATGGGCAGCTTCCTCTTCCAGCTGCCATGTGGAGGCCAATGAGGAAGTCCTGTGAGGAGGAAATGGGACATCAGGTTGAACTCCAGGGCAAGGCCAGCATCAACCTGGCCAGTTCTGCTCAAGTGTGTTTGTTTCCCTCCTTGAGAGATCCCAAGTGGCACTGGAGGATCCGACGGGATATTCCCACCAATCTTGTCCCACGCTGCAGACTGGAGAACAGAATAAATGGAATACTGTTACAGTGAAAGCCACTGGAACAGTCCCCAATGTCATACACCCCTAGACATAAACTTTCTCAAGACTGCAGCCTGACAGCACCCCCCACATACCTCAGAATTCAGTGAAACATGTAACTCCAAAGGCCACGGGGTCAACAAAAAAGAAACCCAGCCAGGCTCCCGCAGCCTTCACTGCATATTTATTAGGGACACCCACAGTACACACTCTCCCACACAACCATCAAGGGCAAGATCACACTGCTCTGGGGAGTACCTCTGCTGAGTCTGTTACCACTTTGAGAGAGCAAATCATCTGCAAAGATGAACATTTAATTCCAATGCCTCCACTTGAATCTTGCTGCTGGAGAAGGAAGAGGTATGGTTCAGCAGGGCCTGGAAGCGGTTTTGGAGTGTTTTTAACTTTGAAGTGGATCAGAAGTCTCCATTGTCTGGCTGGACCAGTTTATAATTTTCATATGCAACTTTTCATATTCATGTTTCATTTTTTACATCTATGCACAAATAGATGCCGTTTAAAAAAAAAAGAATAACACACTTGCTCACAGCTAAGTTCAAAACCAATCAAGAACCACAGCTTCCTGGCAGGGAAAATGAACGTGTGCTGCCCTCTCCTGCTACAACAGTGAAATGAGAAATAACCAGGAGAGGCTGAAGTGAAATCTTCAAAGGGAATGGCCACGTCATTCTCACTAGACTCCAATCAAAAACCAGACGACCACCAGAAAATGTATTGGTAATATTTATATTTGAAAGTTCCCCATAGATACATGAGGTTTAGATTACAACTTATTTACAGTAAGTGATTTTTAAAAAAAAAAAAGAGGAATGGGCTGAGAAAGAAACTAGAGAGAGGGGAGGATGGGGAGAGAGGGAGGAGGGGAGGAGGGGAGAAAAGGAAACCTATGTTCACAGACATCGTCATACGGGGTGCTCGTGTCCAGGAGATACTACGGCCGCTCTCGTGCACAAGCGGCAGCACAAATTAACATTCCGCTAAGCTCAAGGTCTGCTCCTCTTCCTCGAGACGCACAACCCTCCTTTCAGGTTCTCAAAACCAAATGTAGAGGAATAGAAAATGCATTGCTGACATCCTTAGTACAAAAGTCCTTTATGGCTCATTCCCTAACTCCACTCAGAGAAGCAGCTGAGCCAGAATACAAAAATAAAGATATCCATGTGCAAATAAAACATCACCGATCACATCTGCTGCCACCTTCCTGCGACAGGTGACCGTCACTTCGTGGTACTGCTTGTAATAACGTCAAAGGAGAGAAGCTCTTCATTTCCTGGGCCAGGGTCAGTGCATCCAGTTAAAAGGGAAAACAAAGCAAGAAAAAGAAAACCTTTGGAATACTTCATAATGCCGATACCAGCCTCCCAGCCTCCCAACTCCCTATCCCTCACGCCCACAAAGACATAAAACAGCTTTGAAAGCTCTAAGTATCCTTTACTTCCCTTTCCATAATGTGACTGAGCCTAGGGCTGTGTGTTCAGCACAGCAGGTGCGATTCCAAGCACTCCCTAGGTCTGTCTCCACCCTGGACTGTCTCGGGCACAGATAGGAGGTACAGAATCACATGACCCTGCCACCTAGGCAAAGAGCCCAAGGAGGAGGAGCTTGCTCTGCTCCTGCACATCCAGTCACATTCAGGGGATTATTTATTTATTTTTTATTTTATTTTTTAAAAAAAACAGTCAATGTCAGGAAGAACAAAATATAATCAAAATTGCAAAGGACAGTAAGTAAACAATGAAGGAGAGCCACCGGGGACAAGGGCACAATGAGGAGTGTAGGTCTGATCCAGAGGAGACGGTCACTTCACCCACACAGCTGTTGCAGGCCTGTGGCCTGCACATCATTCTAACTCACAAAATTTAAAATTAAATTTAATTTTTTTCTTCCAAGGACACTCTTCGTCCCATCCCTGAAACCAATATGGTAGGGATAAGGTTGGAGTGGTCACCACTCACTAACTACAATATTTGCTATTGAAAAAATATATTTATATATAGTTCTGGAAACTATGAAGCAAACAAAATAGAACACAGAGCTGAGTTCGTCACAGGTAACTCACAAGGAGCCACAGCAGGATTGCCCAGGGAGGGTCAGACAGGAGGCTGCTGCACACGCAGCAAGTATGTCCTTAAATATGTCACGTAGTGTAACAATCAGGTTACCTGGGCTAGCTTCTTGTCACCACACACAACATGACAGATGCCACATTGTTGCTTTCAGTGAAGAAGGAAAATGAGTGTTTTTTCTCCCAAGTTGCCCTGTGAGTTTAGACAGACAGCTCTAATCACATCTTTCAATAGTCTAAAGCTAAGCTTTATTCTTCTCAGTTGGGAATGATCAACAGACAAAACAGACAGAAGGGGGGCGCCGCTCGCCCTTAGCTCAGAGGACAAGGGCGTGGTGCGGAGAGAGGTCCTTACCTCTCTCATCTCAAATGAGCATATTTCATCCCAAGGGGCACAGGTCACGGCAAGCAAAGTTTATACTATCAAAGATACGTGTACTGAAAATCGAAAGGAAAAGGCTAAAATAGAGAGAGCTAAAGAGAAGATGGGCTCCGGGTTTCTTTCTTAGTATCAATGTGTGAACTTGCACCTCTGCCCAGCACTTTCCCACATGGAATCCTCCTTAATAAAAGCCCTATTCATTCCACTGAAGCATCTTGTACTTGGAGGTCACACACCTTAAAAAAAACCAAAACACTATGTTTCTTTTTGGGAATCAACAAAGGCATTTAAAAAACAAAAAACAAAGGTACCTAGATGAAAATACCCATAATTAGCTTACTTTTATATACACACTGTGGCTGACAATCTGGAAACACTTCATAAGTGAGTAAGGTCAATGGCTTTTCCTCTCCTTTTTCTTGCAAACAACAAAGCTGCATATTCTACTTTACATTTAAAAGGAAGGAAGAAAATATACAAGCCCATATTTATACAGTATTTCTACTAAGAGCAACAACAGTTCATGTGTTCATGTTAGCTATGATCACGACTCAACACATGAACACAGAATCGGCTCTACTCCATGAACACTGCTGGACACGATGGTCCGGGGTTATCGGCTCACTGCTGCCCTGTCTTTAACAAGCAAAGGCTACCCAGGAAACAAACCCCACAACACGAATTTGTCAGTACACAGCAATGCAACCACATCAGGCCAATACGTACTGCACACCAGTACATCAGCAGTTTGCCTACCCAAGTAAGAGTCTTCCTTTACTACAGAGCAGAGAGCCAGTAAGATACATCTACAGTATAGCCCTAGTTTGGTGTTCTGTTTTTTCTTAAACAATTTGGTCACAATGCACCTTTGATATAAAAGCATTTTTTAAACTTTATTATTAATACTCAGGACATTAGGAATTTCCAGATTTTTTTCAGTAGCATTTGTAGAACCACTTTTGGTAACAAATACAGTAGTTAGGAATATGCATCCATATCAGAATGCATAATGTTGATCCTGAATCCTTTCTGGCTAAAAACAGGGCTGGCGCTGTGATGAGCTATGGAACGAGAATCTACAAAAAACACTGGAACATGTTTTGTTTCTCCCAGAGGCTGCATCCTCTTTTGCTGAAATACTTTGTAAGTACATATTAGAAAGTAAGGCAACAACTCCAAACAGTTCGTGCTGTTTGCTCAACTGGGTTCCCAACTGGATGCGCAGTCCTGGTGCTCAGCTTCATGGTTCTATCACTTAGTGTTCTGTCTTTCTTACTTCATAGGGTCGGAAAGGATGTTTCTCTGACATTTCTAAATTGTCTCTGGTCTGGATGCACAATGATGTCTGCAGCTAATGCTGCAGGTGCTGAAGCCTGCGCGTCCCGCTGCCTGTTTTCAAAGGATTCAAGACATTGATTTGGACTCACCATATCTGATACGAAGCCCAACATTCCCTTCGCTACTATGCTTATCACCTCTTCTTTTTTATGCTTATCATCACCTTCTTTTTTTACTCCTAATCTGAAAACTAAAGGAGTACCAGGAACACCTGGGCACTGGGAAGATGTTCACCCAGCAGATACACTTCACCAGGGACCTCTGTAATTCACTGCCCCATTCCACGTGAACATTCGACTCATGAAGATGTGCAAAAGGAAAGGATGTCAAATTACAGTCAAGTTGTCCAGAGGAGGGGTGTTGTACAAACTTATAAAGAAATGACAATCTTTTCTTCCTTTACTATAAATACATTTAACAGCTTAGCAGAAAGACAAGCTAAATTTAAGATGGTTCACATTTGAAAATTGTATCATACTCTCTGCTAGTGATAAATAAGGAACTCCTGATAATGGAATTTTAACATAGCAATTTCACCAACAGATCTCTGAAGACCTTTTGTTTTGTTTTGTTTTGTTTTAAAGAGGGTTAGAACAATGATTATGTTTGCAAAGTTCTGAGAAGTCCATCTACTGTCCAAACTTTGGATTGAAGTCCTTATGTTTTCCTTTACTTAGAGACAGGTATATACAGTGCTGTTGTAATAATGAGACAAATGTGAAATCTACTGTAAAGTTGCACAATACAGAAAACTGTTGCTCCATCCTTCTACTACATAAGCGTGTGACCCCATGGGTTAGTGATGTCGTGGTCAGATTGTTGTTAAGTTGGAATTATCCCATCACGCCTAAGACCTCTCTTTAACTCCAGATCCTCCAATTTTTTCCACAATTCTTCACGCTCCTTTTCTTTCTTTTTCTCACTGGAGGAAGAAACAGAGAACAACGTAAACAATTGAGAGGGGTTGGTAAGACTGCCCAACAGAAACAGCCTTTCCCTCACAGAGGCCAAGAGGCTCTGAAGCAACGGGCAGCAAGCTTCTCGGGGTTTCCTTGGGGGGTTTTCCTCATGTGGGTTCTACTTGACACTCTCATGGACACACAAGCAGTACTAATGAAAGCAGGACTGTCTTAAGATTTCCATTAACAACACCCCTTTTTCTGTAGATACAGTATAAATTAGAACACAGTGCAATGACTGAGAAAACTGGAGATGGCTTCGAGTATCATCTATCTTAACACAAAAGTGCCCGGGGCTCTGAAACGCTCAGGGTCTTGTTAGAATACAACCTCCTATTTGTTCCCAATCAACACTCAAAAGAGAGGCTGGAAATGACATGGGCACAAATGGACAAGATAAGAACACACACTTTCTCCTTTCATCTGTGTCTGTTTTTCCCATACAGTGTATACTGAAACTAGGTCATTTCTGAAAACACATGATCAACATTTATATCTTATAGTATATATTTATATATTATAACACATAAGAATATATTAATGATCTACATGAAACTTTGTGGATACAGGTATTATGATGTATTAAAATTTTAAGTGAGCCTTCAAACTTGGTTAAATACCAATTTACCAGTGATTTCCGGAACTCCAGACCACATTGTTTGGCAAAGTATACCACAATTGGATAAGCCAAAATTGGTTCAACAATTTAATTTTGCCAAAGACATTTGGAAATTTCAGTATTGTTTTAAAACAAATGCTTTAATATCAATCAAGTAGGAAGTACATAATCAAAGAATATAAAACTATACTATAAATTAAACACATTCACACTTATTAAAAATATTCATCACATGAATTCACATCTACTAACATAATTCATTTCATTACCTCTGGCTTACTGAAATGAACTGGTGAAAAGTAGAGCCAGATAACATTGTGAATTCACAATTTCATAAATTCAAACCGTTCCTAAGCACAGGAGCTCTGCTGCTTCAGATTCAGGAATTTGTCCTTGCATATCCCACTTTAGCAACAATATATTCTTTATTCAGAGAAATTAATAAGGATAATGTAAACTCTGCATTATTTTAGTAATCACCAATACTTTGAAAAGTTATATTAAATTCTCTGACAATAGGAAATAGGAGCTGAAGAGATGACTCAGTGGTTAAGAGCACTGGCTGTTCTTCCAGAGGACCCAGGTTCAGTTCCCAGCACCCACATGGCAGCTCACAACTGTATGTAACTCCAGTTCCAGGAGATCAGACATCCTCTTCTGTCCATTCCCTGTAGGTACATGGCACACATACATAAAGGCACACAAACACATAATACACAAACTCATACACATAAAAGAAGAATAAACTCTTAAAAAGAAAATCCCAAACCAATAAAGCTTCATTTTCCTTGAACTAAAGAACAAAACAAAACAAAAACCTTAAAAACAAGTCATCTGACATTCCCATTCCAATTGCAGAGCTGGTGAACCACACAGTCATCTCTATCTGCACTTTATAGTTAAGATTCTGGCAACTGAGACCTTGTTTACTATGACTGCTATCTTCGGTGCAATCTGCACAGTGTGGATCTCAGCAGCATAATGAATGGTCTTCAAACATAAGCTCTTCAAACTTACGTAATAATTTTGAACTATAACAACTGCATTTAAGGGCGTAAGGGGCAAGATTAGAAAAGTCTCCATTCATTATGCATTATTTTTTATTTTTAAAAATTAAGTTGGAATGTATTCAGAAAAATATTTAAGGTGCTGGAGAGATGGCTCTACAGCTACGAGCCAAGGGCTACTGTTCCAAAGGACCAAGCTCAGTTCCCAGCACCCACGTGGTGGCTCGCAAATGTCTGTCACTCCAGTTCCAAGGGCTCCAAACTCCTCTTCTGGTCAGGCACCAGACACACGTGTATAGCACATACATATACACAGGCAAAGCATTCATACACATAAAAGATCAAAATAAATGTTTCAAAGGAGATTTTAGCATGTGGTTCCATACTCATACAGTTGAGACAGGAGGATCACTTGAAGTTCAAGGCTAGCCTAAGCTACAGTGAGACCCTATACCTCCTCTGAAAGGCAAAAAGCTGAACAAATATTTTAATAAAGAATAAAACAGAGGGAGATAGAGGCTGAAGAGGCCACACCCTAGAGTGGGTATGATTCTAGAAAGAGAGTTGCTGGCTTCCAGACTCTAGACTCTTGGTTGTAAGCAAGCTGCTGGGCAATATCCCTTGTTTGTTTGACAGTAGAATCTGCAAATAATATCAGTCTAAACAAATGTTCTCAGGGAATGCTGATATAAGTACATGGACGTAAGTTCTACAGCTCATATGGAATTTTAATGCCTCTGACTTCTTCGTTTGGCAGAAGCAGAGAGGAAAGAAAGGGTTTGGGAACTTTTATCAGCTCATCGTGTGGCAGTTCACACTGCCCTAAACTGCAGCTGGCATCATGACATCATCATCTTCCTGTTGAAGCTCATCACCCAGTTCATCCCTCTACAGTATGCAACGTGATTTGTCCTGTGTGTCCTTTCTTTCTCCAGATGAACGTATACGGAGATACCACCCTGCTTCATACTGACAGCTTTATTTTTAAAACTTACAGTCTCAGCTTAGGACATTCTCGTCATCCCAAAGAAGAAATCATGCTGCCCACTTCTGCCTCCAGCCCCTGGCACCCACTGCTCTGCTGCTTCCATGGATTTTCCTTCACTGGCCTTTCATAGAAATGCAATTATATACTGAGAAACAATAGACAGTTCTCTTTTTTTGTTACTGCATGTAGCCCAGGCTGTACTCCCGCTCCTCATACTTCCACCTCCCAAGTGCTGGGATTACAGATGTGCACCACCACATCTGGCTCCTAAAAGTCTAAATAACTCTGATGCATTTAGTGCTACCCTTATTTTTCCAGTTTTTTTCTCTGTCGATGGGAATTTTAAGACTTCAGCACACTGTAATGCTGGGAATCTTGTCAAATTCTCCTCCCATTTCATTTTACATAGCACTAGTGTTGGCACCCATATGTAACAGTGTTAAAGGCTTACTCCACCCACCATTCTGATTTGTAATGCTTCAAAAATCTGCTATGAACTGAAGCCATCAACTTTCTGTCATCAACAAGTAAAACCTCATATTTGGCTCTTCCATCACAGCCCCAAACACCCATGTTCAATTACTAATGAACAGTTACTATCACTTCTGTGGCAAAGCCAATACTTGGATCTGCTCAGTACGACTTTCTAATAATGCATATTTGCCAAAGTATCATTCTTGTTTTTTTAAAAAACAAACAAATAAATAAAAAAAACTTTCATTGAAGAAGTCCATTCACTATTAACCACCTTAACATTCTAGCATAACAGTTCAACCTCACAGTTCTATTCTCGTAGTCCCCCTAGTTAATTCCATCTATTTTCAAGTGATTCATCTATTTAGCTTAGATAACCAAAGATCACAAAACAACTTCATTGGGGAAATTCATTAAAGATGAGTCAATTAATTTGAAATAAGACCGTGTGTGTGTGTGTGTGTGTGTGTGTGTGTGTGTGTGTGTGTGTGTGTGTGTGTGTGTACACAGTGGTCCTGAGAATCGAGCACAGGGCCTTGCCAAGTACACTCTGTAACTTAATTATACTGAAGCTCCTTCAATATTCTTAATAAGATTTTACCCAGATTTAATCCCTGTTTAACTAGAATAATAATAAAGATTATAGGGATCTCTGTTGCCCTAACAGATAAGTGCTGTGTGTATACTGTTTAATGATTCATTATGATATTCTAATGTGCCTTTAGCTCCCCCTCCCCTTTTGAAATGGGTGTTTTTTGCCTGCACGTATGTCTGTGCACTATGTGCACGCCTGATCCTAAAGGAGGCCAAAAGAGCATGTCAAATCCTTTGAAACTGGAGTTACAACTTTTGGGAGCTGTTGTGGGTGCTGGACTTGAACCTGGGTCCTATGGAAGAGGAGCAAATTCTCTTAAGAGCTGAGTCATCTTTCCGTTCTCCCTTAGTCCTTTTAAAAAAATAACTTTTCAAAGATTTTAACTTAACTGTAGGGCAAGGAGGGTCATTATAAATTGAGTAATTTTTAACAATTGATAATATTATGAATTAACAGTTATTTAGGTTTCAAATGTAATACAGAATTGACATTTATCTCAATGTTGTAACTAAAAACAATGTTGTAGTTAAAACCATATTCTGTGATTAAATTGTTTCCCATAAACCATATCCCTGTAACCTAAGAACAATCTCTGCCATGGTCCTTGGTCCTCTGTTCCCAAACCTTCCTACTCATTGCCCTTTTCCTCAGTAAAACACAACTAACACATTCTAAATACGACAAAGCAAAGAAGCAAAAAAATAACAGAAAACATCCTTCTATGGGGTTCAGCAAAGTCCACGGAATGAACATTCCCAGTCCTATTCTCGGACTCCTTAGGGTCCACCCTTTAGGACCTACAGAGTCAGCACTTGCGTCCTCGTGATCAGAGTCAGGCCAGAGAACCAACCACTAAGAACTCCGGGCTTTTCTTAATCTCTCCATTCCATCTGTGGGGGTGTGACTAGAAATGGCCCCCACCGGCTCACAGATTTGAATGCTTGGTCATCAGAGAGTGGCACTATTAAGAGGTGTGGCCTCGCTGGAGGAAGGATGTCACTGGAGGTGGACTTTGAGGTTTCAAATGTTCCCACCAGGCCCTGTGTCTCTCTCTCTGACTGCTGCCTGGGGACCCAGATGTAGAACTCTCAGCTGCCTCTCCAGCACCATGTCTGCCTGTGTGCTATAACGCTTCCTGCCGTGATGATAATGTGCTAAACCTCTGAAACACAAGCAAGGTGTTTTCCTTTATAAGAGTTACCATGGATGCAACAGAAATCCTAACCAAGAAAACATTTTATACAAAGTTGAAAATACTGGATTAAAAATAAAACTTGGCCGGGCGGTGGTGGCGCACGCCTTTAATCCCAGCACTCGGGAGGCAGAGCCAGGCTGATCTCTGTGAGTTCGAGGCCAGCCTGGGCTACCAAGTGAGTTCCAGGAAAGGCGCAAAGCTACACAGAGAAACCCTGTCTCGAAAAACCAAAAAAAGAAATAATAATAAAAAAATAAAACTTGAACCGGGCATGGAGGTGCACACCTTTATTCCCAACACTTGAGAGGCAGAGGTAGGTGGATCTCTGAGTTTGGGGCCACCCTAATCTGTAAAGTGAATTCTGAGATAGCCAAGGCTACACAGAGAAACCCTGCCTCGAAATAATAATAACTGTTATCATCATCATCATCATCATCATTATTATTATATAATATAATGAAAATAAAATGGGAGTGCCATGTAAATAAAATCAAGGAAGACTTTTTGCACCATTCTAATCTTAAGCACTTCAATGTTTTCTGACACTAGATAAATAAGTCTATATTCTTTTCACTGCTCTTATAAGTTGTAATGAATTTGTTGGTTTCTAGACTAGAAAGCAAGTTCTGGGTAAATAGTGACTGGTCTCTGTGCTGGAGTAAAGTATGTCAACCCAATTTTAGTTTGGGTGGGTTGCCGTAGGAGTCAGCCTAGAAGACTAACTATCTAATGATTCCCTGAAGCAGGCCTGAAAGACCAGGGATGTGCCAGGCTCTGAGCCCTGTGGTAGCACAGAAACACAGGAGGAAAAGCAGCAAGCTTCATCAAAATCACACCATCAGAGAACCATCTTACTTGGTAGTACATTAATGAGGACACAGCTATTGAGCATGCAGAAATGGAATATGTAAATAAATAAACCGCTGTTTATAATCTGATGTGCAACTGGACAACTTTAGCAAAGAGTTCGGAAAGGACTCATAGCTTTATGCACAGCAGACAAAAGAGCTTTAAGAAGTTACCGCTGACGATCTGACTTGTATGTGGCTGTCAGCTCATCAAACATAGTGCTGTTCATTTCCATAAAGGCCTTCAACACGTTGTACACCAGTGCCACAATAGCCCTGTGAGGCAGAGAAATAGAAAGGACTGGTTAGTCTTTCACAATGGGGTGCTGAATCAAAAAGCAAAAGGATGGGTTGGGGATTTAGCTCAGTGGTAGAGTGCTTGCCTAGCAAGCGCAAGGCCCTAGGTTCGGTCCTCAGCTCTGGAAAAAAAAAAAAAGCAAAAGGACATTTCTGGTATGCGTTAGCTCCTCCTCTATTATATATACATAAAAAACTTCCCCTGAATTTTTCTCTTTGACAAGTTCATACTCTTACAAAGTGCATTCTGATCATCATAACCCTCCTACACTCTCTGCCAACCTTATTACCCTCACTGCTCCCTACAAATCCCTTCCCCACATTCACATAGCACAAGCTAGCCTAAAGTTCATTATGTACCTGAGGATGACTTTGAACTCCTGATACTCCTGTCTCCACCTACCTCCTGCTGAGACTATGAGAATGTGTCACCACACCTGGTTTCCTATTCCCTTTCAGTTGGACCTACAGTTCATTTGAATTCTTTACTGTTTACAATCTTCCTGAGGGATGGCAAAAATTAAAACTCAAATCTGCCCTTCCAAATTATTGGTACCCAGAGTAGACATGCTTTTTATGGCCAATGCATAACAAAAGGCAAGTATAAAAATAAAGCTGCTTCAGATGTTGGGGAGATAGCTCAGGCTGGCTGGCGTGCGCGCGCGCACACACACACACACACACACACACACACACACACACACACACACAAGAGGTTACAGAGGTTGATGGTATATACCCGAAATCATAGCACTTGGGGGATAGAGGTAAGAGCATTGAGAGTTCAAGGCCACTGTGGGCTACATACAGAGACTATCTTAAAACAAAGAAACAACAAGACAGAGCATTTACATCCTATAAACAAGTGCAAGTGGTTAAAAAAAAATTACTTTCAAAGTAATAACATACATAATTAAAAGTCAGACACTGTTTTAACAGAAATGAGTATCTGAACCACGTGTGTTCAAAGACAGGAGACCAAGCCCCTACAAGATGCTGTCCCAATGTGGTTACATTAGTCTGTCCTTCCTGCTTAGCCCTTCTGTTGACCCAATACTCATGCTGAGAACAGTCAAGCTGGTGCTGGATGCCCTTGGCTACGGAACACTACGCAGCTAAGAAGCCAAGAGGCGGGACTAATTCTTATCAAGCAGATAATGTTGTACAGACATTGAGAAGATTATTCTGTGACAGGCTTGAAAGAGTCAGACTAGGCAAAAAAATGGTGTCTCCCATTTCAAAACTATACAAGGTTGCTTCCATTTTGCAACAAACTCTCCAATCTTACTAAGGAGGTCACGTGTTAGTGGGAGGTAGGGTGTCCGCTGCAGCTTCTGCTCAGTGCCCAGGAGGGAAACTTAGCTAAGGCTCAAGAATGGTCTTTTCCCAGGGGTGGCCCTGGAGAAGACTAGAACTGGGCAGTAACTGACATTGCCCACAGCTGCTCTCCAGACCCTTGGGAGAATGTGTACAACAGGGCTTAACCGCTCTTTTTCAAAGTTCTATTAATATAGAACAAGGTAAAAATTGAAAGAAAATGTTTTTTTATAACTCCATGCAAAAATTTAAAGGCAGATAGGATAGACTTAATTGCACTTACTAATTCTCCAATGCTGCATAACTTTACTGCATAGACATGCAAAGGCATCCCACTATAGAATACTTTAGCCTTCCTAGGGCTAAATTCAACTTGTCCTCAACTGTAAAATTCTGTCCCTCTCCAACATCTAACAACCGAGCTACCGTTAGGAAATGGATATTCCTATAAAATGTAGATCTCTTCAGAGCATCTCCTTACAGCCACTCAGTATTCCCTGATGGTGCCCTTGGAGAAGGCTCATGCGGGCCTTGCTCCCTTTCCTAGCCTCATGTACTGCTCTAGTACTGCTCACCCTAAGGCCTCATGACTTTGCCCTCCGGAGCCCACAGGCCTCGGAACTTGATGGACACTTGAAGACCGGGTGCCTTTTTACACAGCACAGGGATCCCTGTCTGAAGGGGCTTGCCCTATCACCCACATCTACCAAATCCCATTAGCATTCTAGCTGAAGCCAAGCACAATCATACCCCAGCACTCAGAAGGCTGAGGCAGGAGGATCATGAATTTGAGTTTAGCATGGCCTGGACAGTAAGATCCTGCCTTGAAAAAATTAACAATTTAATTTGAGTCCTGCCAGCCAATGCACATCCTTTGCAGCGCCAGCACATTCCCCAAATGTATCTGACTACCTTCAGACAGGCCAGAAATCCTCAAGTAAACAGGTATTTGAACTAAATAGCACTACTTTGTGAAAATATCTGTTTGCTTTTCAGTCCCCAACCAGCAAATTTTCAGGAGGGATTTTTGTCTTGTCCTGTGTGCACCTTTAGCAACAGGCACAGCACCTGGTGCACGGTGAGCTGTGAGACATTTTACGAAAGAAGAGAGAAGGAGGAGGAGGAGGAGGAAGGGAGAGAAGAGCAGAAGGAAGGGAAGGGGCAGAAGAAGAGGCGGGGAGGCTGGAGGAAACTGAACACGTACGGATTCCAGTGCTCCTTGGAGATCCTATAAAGACTGGAGAACATTATGGGAAGGATGACGTTCGAGTTTTCTTCTATCAAACTCATGATGTATTCATTATTCCAGTAATAGAGGGCCCTTTCTGCCACCTTCGAGAAAAGAGGAGGACAAGCTATAATCTCCAAATAAAAGTCTCTTAAAAGGCTATTTTTAAATCACTCAGTCAAAAGTATAATTAAACATTAATAACTCTTTACATTTTGTGAAGATGTATGATCTCTCAGGAAGTTGCCACGTGGTGCATCAGTTTGGGGAGGAGAAGGTTTTTTCCCTACCTGTTCATTTTCCTTCTCTTTGAAGTCTACACCTCTCATCCATTTCCTCGCTCTTCCTTGTATAGTTCCCACACATCCTTACTCTCCACACACACCCTCTCTTCCAGCTCAGCTTTCAGGACTCCTCATCTGGCTTAGGTCTTGTTACACTTTGAGTCTTAAATGTCCCCACAGGCTTATGTTTTGTTTTAAGTAATTTATTTTTATTTTATGTGCATTCGTGTTTTGCCTACACATATATCTGCATGAGGGTGCCAGATCCCCTAAGACTGGAGTTACAGACAGTTGTGAGCTGCCATGTAGTTGCTGGGAATTGAACCTGGGTCCTGTGGAAGAACAGCCAGTGCTCTTAACCTCTGAGCCACCTCTCCAGCCCCCAGGCTTATGTTTTCATGCTTTGTCTGCAGCTTGTGGTGCTACTTGGAAAGCTGTGGGGCCTTCTGAGGTGGTGTCTGTCTGGAGGAGTATGTTGTCTGCTTATTGTCATGGATTCCTGTTCTCTCTCCACCATGCTGCCATGCTCTAATTTGATCTGTGGTCCTGAGTTACTCATCTTGGGACTGAACGCAAATGGCTTCCTTGATTTATGTACATTAAGAAATCATGTTTTGGACAGACGGAGAAATTAGAATCTTTCTAGCTACACCACTCAGCAGGTTCAAAACACTGCTGAGTTACTGTCTACTGATCCCTGAGCACCGAGAAACAGTCTTCACAGAACATTACCACACATCAGCCACTGTGCTGGGTCCACTCACGTCATTACTTTTGAACCTTGTAACTAATGGAGTTGGTGCCGTTATTCTGATTTTATAAATGAGGACTTTGAGAGTCAGGTGATAGATAAGTCACTGGCTCAAGGTCGCATGGCTAGCAAGTGGCGGACACAGAGCCAGCTCTTAATTCTCCCCTGCTGTCCCTAAAGAGCTGATAAGCTACTGGGAAAAGGAGCACCTGTGGTCCTATTTGATGTAAACTGTGACTGGGGCTGCCGAGCAGAATGAATACTCTGCACATACATGCACAGGAGCTACATAAGATCATGGCAGAGTCAGTGTGCATGCCAGAAACCAAGCATGACTCCAGACTCCTGGTCTCCAGGACTGGGAGGAAATCAATCTCTGCTGTTTAAGCTGCTCAGTCTGGAGCACTTTGTTACAGCAACCTGAGCCAACCAAAACAGTATTTCCCCACTCTTTCCCTGCTTTTCTTTTCTTACAAGGACTAGGCAATATCTCACTATCTCACTAGCTCACTATCAGTCTAACAAATTACCTTTCTTTCTAAGCTTTGAGTGTCATGTAAGCCTCTCTTGCCATGTTCTTTGTAAAGGAACCTTGGCCTCCACTACAGCAAAGAGCCTAGTGAAAATAGGAAACTAAACACTCCATGTCTGAGTACTACCCATTTACTATACTATACTATACTATACTATACCATACCATACCATACCATACTATACTATTCTATACTATACACTGTTCTGAACTTCTCCATTTGCATCCAGACTGGACACTCCACACAATGGTGTTCCAGCTACTTTCCCTTTTTGTTCTGTGCAGTACAAGCACTAGCTTAATATACTAACATGTCTTTAGATTTAAAAAACAGTAACAGCCAAGGCCTCTACCGGACAGCTTACAGGGCAGTCCACCATCAAGTTAGAAGTGTGCTTTTACGCTGTTAAACAATCTCTTCAAACGACGGGCAGTACGTTGAGTCTGCCAGGTTGTATGGTGGACTTTCGGTGACACAGCCAGCAGGTCAAATAAAGCACCGTGTTCAACTCTGGTCCCTTCTCTCCTGTGTGGTTTCCAGAGCGCTGCCACCGCCGCCGGGACCTCCTTGAAAGCACACATCCAGGAGCACCTTCCCTGTGCTCTCCTCCAACAGCCACAAGGAGGCAGAGTAGGCCATGGGAAGGTCACGGGCTTTAGCCTTTTTAGCAAGAAGCCACATTTAAAATAAAAATTCAACCCTACTCCCTTGTTAGTTTGGAACCATGGGCAAGGCATGCAGAGCCTTATAATCAAAACAGTGGGAAAGACCGTCATAGGATAACATTCGGCTTCTCTTCTCCTCCTAAGTATCACCAAATACTCCTTCTCAGACACTGGAGAAACTCTAGCAGCTCACTTCATTTAATTTACTCCAGTTACGTCATTTTACTGCTCTCAGCTCTGCGTTCCCGTCATTACTTTTTACAAAGTATTATGAGAACTGAAGTTAAGAGACAGAGCCTGTTGGGGCAGGTGCTCACCGTCCGGTAACTGTGTTAAGGGTACTGTTCTCCTGTGAGAAAATCCCAAATGAAAACACAGTAGCTGGAAAGATGGCTAAGACGCGTAGAGAGTGGACTGACTGCCTCTTGCAGAGGACCCAAGTTCAGTTCCCCACACCCACACGAGGCAACTCACAGCCACCTATAACCCCAGCTACAGGGAGATCTGAGACACCTCTGGCCCCTGTGGGCACTGCACTCATGTATACATACTTACATACACATAATTAAAAAAAAAAAAAAGGAGCTAGATGGTTTTATTTTTTTCAACATAAACAAAGTTTAGCCAAATGGGTTCACATGGTACACACCACTCTGGCTCACGTTCTGTTTACTACTAACCTGAAAATGGGGGCTAGAAACACACTTGGCAATTTGTTTAAACAAAGGTTCTTGGATTTTAACAAATTGTGATGGTTCAATCACATCCAAGATTTCTTCCAGCTCCCCAAGGAACATGACCTATAAATAGAAGCAAAACACAAAATATGAGGTCCATCACTAAAAATCCCACATGATCAATTTTACTTACAATTTTACGAAAAATGTACACATAAAGCCAAAAGGGGGGGGGGGGATAAGAAAGAACAAGGCATTATTCTATTCATTTTGGCCTGGGAGGATAGCTCAGTGGGTAAGAATACTTGCTACGAAAGCATGAGAACCTGAGTTCAAATCTCCAGTCCCCACATAAAAAGGCAGGCAAGCCATAAGCATGCCTATAATCCCCCATGCCATGGGGTGCAGAGACAGGAGGATCTCCAGGGTTTGCTGGCTGCCAGCATAGCTCCAAGTTCTACAAGTCCTTTTCTGGCCTCCGTGTGCAAACCCACCCTCCCCCATACACACAAAGAACATATCATTTGGCACAGGGTATTCTGTTAAAGGAAACTACTGACAGCACTGGGAATTTAACTACATGGAGGCCCCAGGGCCCCAGGGAAACTGGCCTCTCCCTCTTCAGGCCTTTGGAACTCTGCCTGCTGCTAGCAACCCAGATATTTAACACCCCACCTGATCCCACTTTTTAAAATAATGGCTGACCCTCCTGAACAAATGTGTATTAGTCCACACCACCACAGAAGGACACACAGTCACTCAACAAGCAGCTGTCACTCCACTGTGCTCTCAAGGCTGGGACAAACGGCAAACCCACTCATGGTAAAGTACCACACTGACCACGTCAGCACACACTGACCTGCTTTCTATGTCACAGGCTCATACGTGTACACACTCTCCCTCTCCCTCTCCCCTCTCTCTAGAGCACAGTGAATCTCATGGCCTCGGGGCTATATGCAAAAGAAAGCCTGAAGATCACACAATGGAGTGAGATAAATAGATTCAGACAGTTGTATAAATAGAATGGAAAAAGAATAAAAACCAGTTACCTATTTATTCGTGAAAAATAACATAGGGAAAAGCCAAGTAGGCAATTAAAATATGAAGAATGACGCTTCTTTCGTATCTCAAGATGCTGATACAGTGATGATACAGGGATTCCCTTTACCTATGCTGTCAAGATATGGGGTGCCCTCCTGAAGCTGTGGGGTACCCTCCTGAGACTGTAGAGTGGGGTAACCTCCTGAGACTGTAGAGTGGGGTAACCTCCTGAGACTGTAGAGTGGGGTAACCTCCTGAGACTGTAGAGTGGGGTACCCTCCTGAGACTGTAGAGTGGGGTAACCTCCTGAGACTGTAGAGTGGGGTAACCTCCTGAGACTGTAGAGTGGGGTTAGGACCACAGCTGATGTGAGGGAGAGGCTCTTTCCATATGCCTTGTCCTTTCCAAGACACGTCCGTTCTCTTGGGACATAAAGCTAACAGGTGGCCTCCGTTTCCAGGCCAGAAGGAGAGGGCTTCAGATCTGGGGTGGAGACAGTTAGGCTACCTTCAAGCTACTACCTGTGGATTCACTCCTCCCTACACACACTCAGAGCAGGACATGCCTGTTTAGGTGACTGTATGGCACCTTACTCCCAGGCATGACAATTTAAGGGCTGCTGTATACTATGAGACTGCACACAGTAAGCCCTGGGGACTGGAACAGGCTTCCATGCCATGCAGAGTCACTATGAAGTGGCATCAATGGAGCTAATAACTGGACACACAGTGGGGCGTGGCCAGGGGTCACAGTGGCAGAAGCCCAGGGTTCAGAGTTCAGGAGGCAGGTTCTGGCCTATTGGCAAGCTCTTACTCGGTGTGCTCAGGTGTGCTACTTAACGTCTAGAAGCCTCGATGTTATCGCCAGTCAAAAGGAGAACACTGACTGCTGCAGAACTACAAAGCTAGCTTTAGATGAGGCGTGTGCCTGTACATGCGTAGCCCTACTAAGCACTTGGCAGAGCACTTCCTTCATTACTGGCATTCTCTGATGCTAAGTACTTACCTCTTTTTGACTGCATGTTTTAGGCCAAAATTTCATTAACCCCCTAATAACCTAAAAAGGAAAAGGAGAAAAAAACAAGAGACATTTAACATTTCACATGATTTTAATAAAAAAAAATTTCTGAAGTATTTTCACATTATGGAAAGAAAGAAATGGCTTACTGGTTCTGTGAGTGAAGGATCTTTCTCCAGAAACTGTACTATACAATACGCCAGCTGAACAAGAAGGAGGGAGGACAGAGTTAAAGACACACCGCAAAGGCCGAAAGCACACAGCACCAACACGTCTCAAAAGCATCCAGACGCTGGTTTTAACATTACAGTCACTTCATTTAAACCCTCATGAAAAACAAGGCTTTTAAATTTTGTTTCTTTAGAATTGGGATCCAGCTAGGTTGCCCAGGCTGGTCCTGAACTCCTGAGTCAAAATGATTCTCCTGCCCTAGTTTCCTGCGTGGCAGGGACTAGAGCTAGAAGCTGTGTCTTCAAGTCAGTGACAGGGTAACAAGGCTCAGGAGGGATTTTTTTCTTAAAAGAGTGCTAAGATTTCTGAGGCTAATGGAAAGCAGCTGAAACACCTCATTCAGTGCAGTCTGAGAGGATCTCCTTTACATTCATGGTCCATTTACATCTCAAGGTCTGGGTTTTACTTTCTGTGGGGAAGACAACACTTTCTAAAATCTCAGGCAACTGCCTACAATGAAACCTGAAAACACTGTTTCCCAAAAAGACCAAAGGTTCGCGACCTGCCAAGGCCAGGATCTGGGGAGAGCTCCCAGTCTCAACAGGAATGCTTTCATATAACCATGAAATGTTATATCCCACGGCAGAGACTAAAGAGAAGGGCTCAGAAAGATTCCTGAACAGGAAACCTACCCTCTTAAAACACCAGCAGTTTGATGATGTGCTAAATCTGGAACATATGGACTAATTTTTTCTTCACAATACAGAGTTCCACATTTAAGAAGGAACACTCCTTAGAAAAATGTGTTACATTTTAGTGCAAACTCCAAAGAGAAGGGAGCCAGAGGCTCACAGCACTAACATTAAAAACATCACTAGATCAAGTCTGTCCTCCAGTGGCATGCTTCCATGCAGTGCGGTGTTCAGGACAGAGTCAGTGAGGACGACACAGGCTCTGAGTATCATCACTACTCCTTTTATGGACGTATCTGTTTGGTTCTGAGACAACTCACTATTGCCAATGCCAGCCCCAATCTGAAGGCAATCCTTCTGACTCAGTCTCGTAAGTGTTGAGATCACAAGGTATGAGGCACCACATCCTGCAAGATCTGATTCTCAAAGTAATGAAGGATTTATAAAAAGAAAGATGTGAAAACACTGGTAGACTTGCCTACTTGTGAAAGTGTCTACTGTGTGTGCAAAATGCGAAGTTGGTAAAGCAGAGGAGGGGCAAAGGGGAACTGACAGCCCAGGGCAAAGTGAGACAGGACCCACTATTCAAGAACATTCAGTTCACTGGACAAGGCCCTGAGTTACCGCATCCTATCATGTTCTTACACTCTTTACATCACACAAAGTCTACTCCGGGCAATCTTCGCAGCAGGCAGCCTTGTGAACATAGAAGTCTGCTACGAAATAAGACGGAACAAAGTCCATTTCTACCTTTAAAAGAGTTCCGTGATTCTACTGTGTGTAAAAAAATGCATACTTTACTATTTTCCTCGGGGAGAATTTTTAATCCTTAACACACTTTTCTTTTTTCTTTTTTTTTTAAGGAAAAACAATATCCTGGGAAACATGAAGTCCACAAACTTCCTTTTGTTTCAAAAGCTATACTAGCCAGGCGGTGGTGGCGCACGCTTTTAATCCCAGCACTCGGGAGGCAGAGGCAGGCAGATCTCTGTGAGTTCGAGGCCAGCCTGGGCTACAGAGTGAGTTCCAGGAAAGGCTCCAAAGCTACAGAGAAACCTTGTCTTGACAAACCAAAAACAAAAAGCTGTATGTACTGTAAGCCAGGTATGGTGGCTCACCCTTGGAATCCCAGCACTCAGGAGGAAGAGGCTGGCAGACTGAAGGTTCACAGCCAGCCTTGGCTACAAAGGAAGACTTTGTCTCTACAAAAGCTTTGATTTCAAGTTCTACCTGGGCATGGAAGAGTGACAGGCTCCTGACGGTGTGCAGAGGGATCAACACTTTGACCAGGAACTGTTTGTGCTCTGCCTTCAGTGGTAAAGCGAAGCCATTGATAATACTAGGAAAAGAGGAGACAGGTTAGCAATGCCGTCCCACACACTGAACCCAGACAAGCTGCTGTTATGAGCTGGCAAACTCTTAGTTTATATTTGTCCATAAAAACATAGTCAACCCTCCCACCACTGACAGTCAAGACTTTTTTGTTACTTCAACAGAGATCATTTATTAAGTAGGAGTTTTAAACAGAAGAGAATTTGATTGTGAACACCCAACAGAGGACGCTGTGCTTTCACGACAGGCAGACAGTGCCCCGAACTTCTGCCCTCCCTCTGCTCCTCTGTCTAGCCGCCCACCCTGCTAACTTCCTCTTCAAACACAGGCCTTCTGCCTCCAGACAGCACCAGCTTGCTGGCCTGCTCTTCAAACACCCCTGCTATCTCCAGACACCATTGTCTTCATTCTTGAAGCCTCTGCCCAGCCTTGGGAGGTCACTGAGCGGAAGCAGGGAGACCACACTTCCTTTTCTCATCTAAGGAGGAGACTAAGCCATCACCGTCCAGCTCCGTGAGCTCTGAACCCCACACAACAGCTGCCTCGCTCCTCCTCTGAGGGCAGCAGCTGCCTAGAACTCCACATCTGGGCACACTTTCCAACTGATTATAAATCTGCTTTCAACAGATATGAGAAAGGACAGATAACAAATGAGACGCTTTGCTGTCACTGGCCTGACACCCAATCAGACACACAGTTCCTGAGTAAGCTGTGAGCTCTTTCTGGTCTTTGTGGGGGTAGTTAACAATATGTAATTGTGGAACAACGGAACAGAGGTGGGGAAACAGGCTAAACACAAAGGAGAGAGACCCAAGGTACTTGGAGCAAGAAATCCAAGTCAGCACTCCCCTCCACCACCTGAACATGACCTGCAGAATGAGACTCCCCGAAATCCACAATTCACTGCAAACGCTTACCTTCCTAATATTTCCAGCAGTTCAGCTACACCATTGAAGTGTTCTGTTTCATAAACAAACCTGAGGAGAGAAGAAGAGGGAGAGGAGGGAGGGAGGAGTAGACGGGGGAGTGGGGAAGATGTTAGCACGTCTCCTTCAACTCTTGGAGGTTACTCAACAGTGCAAAACTGTCACTGTGCTCTCTTGCTTGCCCACCATCCACTCACCTTAGAAAAATATTGTTAATTTGTTTTCGGATAAATGCTCTAAGCCCGAGAAACTTGCCGTAAATCCTGTGCAAAACTGTTTTTAAATAGTCCCGTTCTCGGGGGTCTTCACTGTCAAATAGCTCCAGAAGCTGTTGTAAATGAAGGTAAAAAGCTGTCAGGGCAGTTTAGTAAAGGATTTAGAAATTCTATCGTCCATCATTCATAATCTCTCTCTTCCCTTCCCTCTTCAGAAAGCTACTAAATAACCATTACGCCCAGTACAACAGCAGTCTTTGGGAAGCCAGCTACACTGAGTCAAAGGCTGTACACCCAGGGAAGAGAAGCATGCTACAGGAGCCATAACAGCAATAGCCAAAGCAGTGCTCACGTGATCAACAGACCATTTTCTAAGCAATCTACACAGGTCAATCCTTCTGTGAGGTGGTTTTATCCTCACCTTACAGAGGAGCAAACTGGGGCACAGAACACTCAGTCAACTTGCTGGTGATGTCAGAGTGAGAAGCGTTAGGACCAGGATTTGAACCCAGAAAGTGAACGCCGTAAGTCTGTGACCTTCAACACTGTATGTCACTAACTCCTGGGCTTATGTTCCAATTAAGCCACTCAGCTCTACCAAAATGCCCAGGAAGATGAAATAATCTAACTCAAAGCAAACACTGAAATTCCCAATGACCCCAGCAATGTTCTTGTTAGTCTGAGTGGTTACACGGGTGTGCTCAGGGTGGAAGTACTCGAAGTAAACATGGGCTATGCCTGCATGTGTGAGTAGCATGCTTTAGGTTCTGGATCAGGAATCCTGATATCCAACCCAACCCTGTAAGGACCACGGGGCCTTGTTTCTGCAGTGCCAGACTAGTTGAGGAGACAGGAATAGAGCTCAATGGGGGAGCATCCTGCACAAAGCCCTGTGCTCAAACACCAATGGGGTGGGGAGGGGGCGGGGAGTGGGGAGGTGTTACCGGAACAGCGAGCATGCCTACAATCCCAGCACTTAGGAAGCTGAGGCTAGAGGATCTTGAAGTTGAGTTTAAAGATAGCTACATGAAATCTGGTGTCAAACAGCCAACAACAACAAAATCAGTTGATTTGAAAATGTATATGGAAATACAAGTCACCTCAAAGAGCCAAAGCAATCTTGGTAGTAAGAGGACTCAGAGGACTCACATTTCTCCAGGCAAAAGTTCAACAAAAAGCTACAGTAATCAAGGGCATGCTACTGATACGTGCTAGATACACAAACAGAATAGAGACAAGAGTCCAAAAACAAAACTTTCAAATTCATGCTCAATTGGTTCCGTGGGATGCCAAGACATTGCGGTATGGAAAGAAACAGTCTTCAACCGAAGGTGCTGGGGCAACCAGACAGACTCATATGAAACAGTAAGTCGGACTTCTAGCTCATACTACAAATTCAAACGGACTCAAAAAGGGTAATCAACCTAAAGACAAGAGTACATGACAAACATAATAACAAATCTTCACAATTCCAAATCAAGTGGTTTTTTTAAACCTCTGACAAGAAATGCATAAACAAAAAAAAGAAAAAGAAAAAAACTAAATTAAAACATCTGTACTTTAAAGTTACAGAAATAAGAGAAAATATGTGTGGAAAAGGCTAGAATTATCTACAATATATAATGAACTATTAAATCTCAATAACAGCACAATTCCATTGGGAGGATAACAGCAGGCAAAGGAGGAGAGGCTCACGGGGCCCACCCCTCTTGAGGATGGACAGGCAGTTTAGGGTTGCTGGGGGAAGGAAAGGTATTTTCTTTAATGGTATAGCTACTGATAAGGTAATCAAACCCTGTAAGCAATCCTAATTAAGCTCACTGAGCTAGCCCCCAAAAGAAGAAAGGGAGAAGGGGAGCTAGCTGAGAAGAACAAGCCACCCAGAAGTAGAGAAGAGACAAAAGAAGGCAGTGGGAGGGGGGTGTCAAAATAATAATATATGAGCCAGGCGGTGGTGGCACACGCCTTTAATCCCAGCACTAGGGAGGCAGAGGCAGGCAGATCTCTGCGAGTTCGAGTCCAGCCTGGTCTACAGAGTGAATTCCAGCATAGCCAGGGCTACATAGAGAAACCCTGTCAAGAAATATATATATAATTATATATGCATATGAACATGTCATTATGAAGCCCATTCTTGTGTTTACATAATATATGCTAATAAAAACAAAAAAATTTTGAGAAAATGAAAACAACTCAACTTAAAAATGACAAGGGATGTTTGAAAAGATATATCCCAAAGACGGCACAGACATGGCAAATGAACACATGGGAAAGGGCTCGATTTCACTAACCATGGAAACACAAACCAAAGGAAGACAGAACTCATCTGATGCTGCCTCAGAAGGAGAGAGAGACAAGAAAAATGTTGACGAAGATGCTGGGGAACCTTCATCTACTGTTAACAAGGACGGAAAATGATTCGGTAGGAAGGCCGTCTGGTAGTTCACAGGTCCATACTTGTAAACAACTTCACTCCCAAGCAAATGATGAACAAGACAGAAAGCATACATCCTGACAAGCGACGGACAGTATGAAAAGCTGCACACACTTGTTCACAGAAGCAATACTGAAAACAGAAAGTTAGAAAACACAATGCCCATCAACAGATGGGAGGAGGAACATTGCTCCTGACGAGAATGAAGTGCTGAGAATCCTCACATTATCACCACCCAGATGAGACTGCCAACCACTGTGATAAAGAAATCAGACACAAACGGGCCTAAGATGCATGGCTCTATTTATATGAAATACTCAGAACAGGTCTAAGAAGGAGTTTAGCTTTCCTCTGGAGAGGATACAATATTCAGCAACTATAGCAGGGATGGTTGCACAGTCCTGAAAGTCTGTTTAAAATTGCTGAATTGGAAGGCTGGGGAGATAAGGGACCTGAGGTCAACTTCTAGAACCCATGTAAATAACCAGGTGGCACATGCTTCTAATACAGCACTGGGAGGAGAGAGAGAAGGACACATGTTGCTGACTGGCCAGCCAATAGTGAGCTTCAGGCCAGTGACAGGCACTGTCTCAAAGCAAACAAAGGTGAATGGCACCCAAGAAATGACTGATCCCTGGCCTCCATATGCACAAACACACATGTGTATACACATCTGAACATGCATCCACCCCCCATTTAAACATACAGATGCAGACTACTGAATTGTAAACTTCAAATGGGTAACTTTATGTTACATAAATTATAATCTACTATTTTGTAAAAATGATAATGAAACTTGGAAGCACTCCTGAATGTTATTAATTTCTAATACGTTCATCACCATTGCAATAAAATAAACCTACTCAGCATGTAAATAAAAGCTGCCTACCCTCATCCTCACAAAAGGCTGTGTGTGCGTGTGTGCGTGTGTGTGTGTGTGTGTGTGTGTGTGTGTGTGTGTGTGTGTGTGTGTGTGTTTATGCATACATGACTATAGATACTTATTCATACGTGAGTCCAAGTGATGGAGATGTAAGGCTGAGGGGACGGTAATCAAATGGACATGCCTTTTATTTCACAAAAGACAGTTCTGGGCAAAATTAATTAATTAAAACTAAAGTCCCTTCGAATATGGCAGGAAGCAAAAAATTGAAGGATAGTCTTCTAAAATGGACAGTGAGAAAGTCCACAAGTTTGGTTTTACAGTGCTTACCATCTGTTCTGTTTGTTCTCCTTGGAGGATTTTGAGTAAATATTTATTAGTGTATATTAAGAGCCAACAAATGGGCAAGGAGGTGCCAGGGATATAGTGATATGCAAGTCAGACATAATCTCCTTTCAGAGACTAGTCTATCAGTGGATAAAAATAAACAAACAGCATAAGTAGTTCAAGATGCTGTACAAACACATAATGGATCTATCCACTCTATTTGGAAGAAATACAGTGACAGAGAAGGCTTCCAGGGAAAGTGATAGCCACACCCCTCCCAAATACACACACCAAAGAACTGGGGCAAGTGTTCGTATTAATCAGCTTTTTGTCACTATAACAAAGCACTTAACACAAACTACTTATGGAAAAGAATGTTCTGGTTTTTTTTTTTTTTTTCTTCTCAATTTTGAAGGCTGAATGTTCAAATGGCATACATAGCCTCACAGCCAGGTCTGCCCTTGACCACGCCGATAGGGGGTCATCAATTACACGATGACAAGGAAGTGATTGTATTACAACTCCAACCAGGAACAGAGGAAAAAGAGAGACTTGTATCTTATTATCCCTTCCAAGAGTATGCCCCAAATGACCTACGGTCCTCCTACCAGTCCCTACATCTTAAAGGTTCCATATCATTTGTCCAAACTGCCACCTTGGGTACCAAGCCTCCAAACGCAAAAGACCCAGGGGGTAGGATCACTTATAGCACACCCAAACCAGTGTGATTTTCCCAAGGGATTGTGGGGTGTGGAAGGCAGCAGCCTAACTGACAGATAACACTGTTAGCAATAACTGTCATATCGCTGCCCATTTAGCAATAAAATAAACAAGTATGTGCTGAGACCTTTCCTCGTGCCATGGATGTCCTTGCTTCTGGGCACACAGAGTGCTGAACAACTTCCAGCTAACTCTGGGAGGCAACCAGTGAGTTAACAATTGACTTGCACAGGAAAGCATTCTACTTCCAAAAGCAAAACACGAGGCCTTAACAGGCCAGAAAGGAGAGGGAGGGTATGTATGCCTTGGATGTACTCATTATCTACCTCTTTATGTAAGAGATATTCAAAATTACACAAGCTATCTAACCCATCTCTTGCATTCCAGTCCTTGTTTACGGAAATTATTAACCTTTTTAAGTTCTATTTTTTAATCTAGTTTCTACTTTAAGTGGTGCAAAAGGGCTTAATGAGTAATATGCAACCAATATAAGAAGAGGTTTGTGGGGGTGGGATGTTAGCAAAACTTGAATCAACTGAGCGTCTGTGTTGCTAATCTGAAGAGTTTAACACTGTATAATTAAACAAAGATTATTTAAATATTTCATTAGGTTCTTGCGGGGGGGGGGGGGGGGGGGGGGGGGGGGGGGATATCTTAGTAAGGACCCTGACTTAAAGCCTTTGCAGAGTCCTGTTAAATGGATCGTCCTCTGCAACAAAGAAAGATGAGCCTGGAAATGCGGCTGCTTC